CCGTGCCAAACCATGACCTGCTTAACCAGCTCGGGTGTCACTCGAGTCATCCGTGGTCCCAACTGGTCAGCAGGACGAGGCCCGGCTTTCCCGTAACACACACTTTGTTCCTCTCTACAGGACCAAAGCATATGCAGGCCATCATAACATGTCGGGAATGTTCGCCGGTCTCCCCGATCTTGCAAGGTGTCTGGGGTCCAGGTCAGTTGCCGTAAGATTGCTCCAACCCCTACAGTACAGCAGTACCACTCTTAACAAGTTTTCCTGGACCCTCGTCACACCGCGGGAAGCTCCACCCCCTGTGGTCCTGGTGAAACTGCCTCTGTCTGGCTTTGTCCCGCTCTCTCTCTCTCTGTCTCTCTGTCTCTCTGTCTCTCTGTCTCTCTGTCTCTCTGTCTCTCTGTCTCTCTCTCTCTCTCTCTCTCTCTCTCTTCTCGCAGGCTTAAGGGGCGAGTTAAGCCCCCCGGGCACAAGGGCCCGCCTGCTTTTTACGGGCGTTTAGAGGGGAGTGAACAAAGATGACTGCTTCGACCGAAAAGGCACAGGTTCAAATATTACACCATTTGCATTTGGGTCTTCAGTCATCTGTTTTTGACATGCGACATGCGAAAACTCTCTCTCTCTCTCTCTCTCTCTCTCTCTCTCTCTCTCTCTCTCTCTCTCTCTCTCTCTCTCTCTCTCTCTCTCTCTCTCTCTCTCTCTCTCTCTCTCTCTCTCTCTCTCCTGTACAAACTTCCCGTCCGTGAACCAACCTGCATCTCGCGCCCTCGTCCAAATCGGGTCGGTGTGGGGATTTGACAACACCTCGACCAAGCTGCGGCCCCTCGAGTCGGAATGCAACGATGCCGGCTCGTGGTTGAGCATCGCCGTGGGCCTCGCGAAAAGAAAGGGGTTGTGCTACAAGGCTGACACCCGTTGTATGCATGCATGCGGGCATGCGGGTCTGCATGTGTAAGTTTACACACACACACACACACACACATATATATATATATATATATATATTTATACACACACATGGAAACGTATATGTACATATACATACATACATACATACATACATACATACCTCTTACAAGCACTGAGTCACAACACCTGCAGCAACCTCGTCATAAGACTACGTAGTAGCCGAGCTACACACAATTTATGCTCTACGGCAATATACTTCAGTCATACTGACAAAACCTCAAAGCACATGCAGGGCAGCAGCATGTGTTTCCCTCTGCGCAAACCGCCATGTCCCGCCTTCATGTTGAGCCACCTCTGCAGTGCTGCACGAAGTGGGTTGTGCTTACAGTACACAGTTGGGGCTTGCTTCGCTTCGTGCTTTGGGACGAGCATATCATACATGATACAGGACACAGGCGTCTCTTCTTGGGGACTTGGGAGTGTCAGCGGCTGCAAGTCTGCACGAACCTGCGGGAAATGCCTTTGCACAACGACTTTGGCAACGCTCGCAAACAAGTACGGCGTCTTAACTCGTGCATGGAGACACAAATCCATGTATTTTGCAGCAGTGCAGTAGCATGTTGAGGCGCTTTGTCTTTAACCTGCGAAGCCACTAGCTTGACCTTTTGTAGTTAGTCGGCCTGCGACACGGGAACATCCAGAAGAAGTTGAAACTACAACGCTTCCGTCGTGGTGCCCTCAAGATGTTCATGCGTTGCCGCTTCGATTCGGATCAGCAAGTCCCACTGATCTACAGGCGCGAAGTATGGCTACGACAATCGGCTACACTTGTCCTTGACTGAGAAGCGGAGAACTTGACGAAGCCAACCGTACATAACCGACCGAAATCCATCGACCCATCCCTGAGTTGTGCATGAGCAATACATTCAGGGTTGGGACATGCACTCTGACTAGACGAACAGTCAGAGACAGGTGTGGTAGTTGTAGTCGAAGTAGTGAAGTGCAGGCAGCAGATGTAATAGTAATAGTAATAGTGCCGTCGTCGTCGTGGTGGTAGTCGTAGTTTTGGTAGTGGTAGTGGTAGAAGTGGTAGTAGTGGTATAGGAGTAGCAGCAGCAGCAGTAGTAGAGTAGCAGTAGTAGTCGTAGTAGTAGTAGTAGTAGTAGTAGTAGTAGCAGTAGCAGTAGCAGTAGCAGTAGTAGTAGTAGTAGTAGTAGCAGTAGTAGTAGCAGTCGTAGCAGAAATAGTATTCGCAGCAGCAGCAGCAGCAGGAGTAGTAGTAGCAGCAGTAGTAGTAGTACTACTAATTCCAACCAGACCCCCGGCCTACCACGAGCCGAGCTGAAGCCAAGACGGGCGATTGGTGGGTCTGCCACCTTCGGCCAGGAGCATCTAAGCACCGGCTGTAAGGGTAATTCGGCGCATCATCAGGATGTGCCGAGCAAAACATGGGGAGCCCGGCTCCTAGATTCTGCATATTCTTCCTTCGCTGGATTTAGCGCACGCCTCCGTGACGAACTTTCTGGAGGTTCTCTGTTGGACTCGAGTTCAGCACACCATTAATTGGTTTATCTTCTGACTGCAGAGGAACGCCTTGCAGCTGGTCGAGGCTCCTACCCAACGTCATCTGTTGATTCTGAAGCCTCAGCCATTGTGTGTATATGCACATAATGTGTATGTGCACTCTCATAATGCCCCCATACATGCATGCATAAAAACACACATGTAGACATGCGCAAAAACACGACTTTTAACAACAGTACATCACGACTTACTGAAGCTTCACAGACTTAATGATGGAGCCGGGTGGGGGATTGTATGTGTTGTTGTATTTGTGTGCACATGTATTATGTGTGTACTTACGGGCATAAACACACATATGTGGTGACATATTTGTATGCGTGTGCATATATGTACATGTACATGTTTCAACATAAATGCAAACATAAACATGAATATGTATATATATATATATATGTATATATGTACGTATGTATATGTGTATAAATATACATATACATATATATATATATATATATATATAATACGCAACTATCTAGGCATATCTAAATACGATCTTACTATATATGTGTGTGTGTGCGTGTGTTTATGTACATATACCTCTCATATCCGCATATTTGTCCAGTGTGCATGTTAGATCACTCTTTGATCGCGGGCATGCATGATGTCGATATATCCCGACTCAATCCGAGACGGTCGACTTTGAACTTGCGATGTTACTATACCTTCCCAACCCTATGCTCGAAAGCTCTCGGGGGCTCTCTGATGCCAAAGAAACTTCTTCACCGGGCTCTGGGCTCTTGCAGTTCCAGCCGCGAGATTTGGCCCAGAACCGTGATGTTTGATCCAACATGTATTCGGCCCTGAGCACCATGTTCCATCCCAAGCTTTTCGGGAGGTGTTAAAGCCAGTATGCGATGCCATGAACATCTTCTCCCGGTGACAAATTATTCAAGGGCAGCAAACAGTTGTCGTCGAAGGACGCCTTTGCGAGTAAGATGTGTGATGGGTTTCATTACAACGAGGAGCTCTGAAGGCAATGTCCCCCTAACCCTCAAACCAAGAGCCTGGTACAGCACCAGCAACAACGACACGAAGACTGCTCCCAGGATTCCCCTGCCGAGAGGCTCTCCAGGACTTGCGCGGTTCGGAGTTTGAGGTTCAGGGTAGTTGTAAGCTAAGTTTGCCTTGGGCCTGAAATGGCCAAACTGCCCCCGAGTGATGTGACCGGAGTCTATGTGACAGGCTTCGTGCTTCGAGTGATTCGGGTCCTTCCCAACAATAATAAGCTCCAAATCCCAAATCTCTAGAATCCAAACGCACAATGGTTCCTGCTTCTGTCGAGAAGGCCATGCGGTTCGGTACGCACCACGGCCAGTTGTTCTGACTCAACTTTGGGGGGTTGGTTCGGGTCTTCGGCTTCGGGCGCAGCTAGATATATGGGGAGGGATTGTAAAGTCGGTAGCGCAATGCACTGGCCTCAAACCCTGTCCCTTGAAATCTAAAATATTTTCCCACCCTTCGCATGTGAGTAATGCGCATTTGCGAAGATCTCCCACAAGCTGGTTGACTGGTTGAGGCTCCCCACCACACCACACCCTACAGTATATAAGTGTTGTGGCCTTCTCTTACTGATGCATGCTGGAGTCGGCATGTATGTTCAATCGGAGTTCCTCCTTGTTCTGTCGGTTGGATCTTTTGAAGCGGCTGCATCTTGTTTGCAGCTTTCGGGTTTGAGGCCCCACCGAAATCTTAGCTACGAGCGCCAGTAGCTACTGCAAGCAAGTGCTGTTGTAACATGAAGTTTCTTTGACGAACTTGTCCATGCAGACTAACGTCAATCCAATAACAAAACACCCACAACAACAGCAAGAACCATGCCAGATGTAGGAATGCCCCCTGTCCGCCCTTAACCCTTGCAATAAGCCGGATAACTGCACCAATATCTTTGTGATTTATGTGTGCTTGGGCAGCAGACCGAAAAGCACCGAAGAAAAGGGTGAACAGGAAGGCAGTCCACCATACCTGAGAGGGTTTGAGAGGGGTGAGGCCCAGCGATAAGCAGGACTTGAAAGAAAAGGCCAAATGCGTGGTGACTTGGTTCAGGGTTTCAGTCGGACAAAGGTAGGGAAGCAGCTCAGGAAACTGGAGATAAGCGAAACAAACGGCAAATGGAAACGCTGCTACCGCCAACTCCTGTTCCTACTCCCCCGATTGTCTTCGCTTGAGGGTCTGTCTGGCCTTCAAAAGTTGACACGGGTCTAGAATCCGTGCTGCTCACACGTCAGACGGGAGGCCAGCTGACCTAGATCCGCCTGTTCATTCACACCGGGCAAGCTGGCTGTTGGGGCTTGCTTGTGAAAGTAAACAGCGCGTGCATCGCCGAGGCCTCAAACGCACCAAGCAATGGGTGGGACGGTCTGGGGCAGCAATGAGAAGGTTGAGCTGTTCTTCTGAATTCCCGAGTACAAGCCCTGCAGAGCAATAAGGCCAGGCCAAACCTTACATCAGCTATAAAATCAGCAAACCACACGAAGACCCCGCTCAGCTCTGCTGTCTTTTCTGTGCGATCATCCGTGGGCTCCGCCCGAGCGTCTGCCCCAGCGGTTTCGCGACTGTCCCTCCTGCAAAGGTAAGGTCTCGCAGCTCTGTCGAAGAAAACACTGCCACAGAAGCACTGCTGCTTTTACTCGGTGTCCTGTGCATGGCTGTCGTAGCCAGAGTTGCTGCTCTGGACCTTGCCCTTGCCCTTGCCCTTTCCGAATCCTCGGCTGCAAGCATGGGAAAAACCAGTAAACGCTTTCTACAACTCATATGAAACTTTCACTGCATGCAATGCCACATGTACAGGATACACATTTCTTGCATCGATGCTGCGGCCACCACACGAAATGGGGTTTGCGACGGAAACACTGACACTGGTGGTGGTGCCAGTGCTCATAACATATTACTATAGTATACCATATTACTACAGTACTAGTACACCGTCTTCCTGCTCCTTCTACTCCGCGCATCACCGCACTTAAACCCTGAAGCCGAAAAAAATCTACAGCCAGAGGTGCGTGTGGCGTTGCTTTGGGTCCAGTCCGTCCAGTCTGCCCTCCCCCAGTCCTGTGCCCCGGCTTCCGACGGGCCTGGCAGGGCGTCGAGGCTTCATGCAACTATGGCGTGTGAAGGTAAGCTGTGGCTTGGATGGCGAAATCGAGCGGGGGAAAGTCCAAGAAGAGCCCAAGCGACAACCCTTGCAACTGGAAACTTTTTAGTTTTCAACCCTGAACAACAGATCTGTCTTTCCACCACGACCCCTCTCAAGACGTATGTAATCGGGCAGCTAGTGAAATCCCAGGTTCTCAAATGCTGAAGGCCAACGAAAGCCCCCCTATGCCACAGAACCTGCACATTCCCGGCCTCTCCACGCTGCCTGTAGAGATTTGGGGCTGTGAATTGAGAAGGTTTGGGCTCGGGAGGGTTTTTCGGGTGGAGTCCTGTCATTTGGGCCGATCTTGATCCCTCAGACTCCTGCACATGCCCGGCCAGCTGGCCAGAAGACTTTCAATTTCGGAATTTACACTCTGCAAGGTTCCAACTCTCGACAAGTTGAAACTCTTTTTCGGGCCTCCGGGTCGAAGGTGTTTGCTGTCGTGCTTGGTGCCCGAGCGAAGAACTGTTCAAACAACCCAGACTGCCCCGAACCCTATAAAGGTTTATAAAGGTTCCCAATTCTGGCTCGGCCTTCTGGGGCTGGGTTGAGGGCGAGCGTTGCAAGTTTTCAGGGCTTCAGCGCCATGTGTTTATAGATGTTAGAGAAAGATATAGCTTTACATGTGCGATGTTCGCGGCTTTGCTGCTGTCGTTCGCGGAATTCATGAGTATCAGCGCCACAAGCGAGTATCACCCGCCGGTTGCTTGAACATCATGAGCATCAGCCGCCCAACGGTTGTGGGCAGGACCCTCAGCCGCCCGCTCGTCATTGGCAGCACCCGCGAGCATCATGATCAGCATCAGCGGCACTAGTGTTGCAGCTGGCCGTCGGAAGGACGTTGCCAGCAAAGAGCATCATGAGCATCACCCGCCACTGGATTGGGCAGCACCCGCGAGCATCATTAGCATCAGCGCCACCAGGCATAGCCGCCACAGCCAGCAAAGAGCATCATGAGCATCAGCTGACCACTGGTGCTCGTAGGCAGGAACCGCGAGCATCATGAGCATCAGCGACACCAGTGTTGCCTCAGTGTACCGGTGGCGAGTAGCTAGCAAAAAGCATCATGAGCATCAGCGGCACCAGTGTTGCAGCTGGCTGTCAGTAGGGCGTCGCCAGCAAAGAGCATCATGAGCATCAGCTGCCACTGGTGGGCATCACGAGCATCAGCGGCACCAGTGTTGCAGCTGGCTATCGGTAAGGCGTAACTAGCTGCAAAGCATCATGCAGAACCCGCGAGCATCAGGAGCATCAGCGGCACCAGTGTTGCAGCTGGCTGTCGCTAGGCGCAGCCAGCAAAGAGCATCATGAGCATCAGCGGCAGCAGTGTTGCAGCTGGCTATCGGTGGAGCGTGGAACCGCGAGCATCATGAGCATCAGTGACACCAGCGTTGCAGCTGGCTGTCGGTGGGGCGTAGCCAGCAAAGAGCATCAGGAGCATCAGCTGCCCACTGGTGGTGGTGGGCAGGGACTGCGAGCATCAGGAGCATCAGCAGCACCAGTGTTGCAGCTGGCTTGCCAGCAAAGAGCATCAGCCGCCCACTCGTGGGACCGCTGGTGGTCGTGGGCAGGAACCGCGAGCAACATGAGCATCAGCGGCACCAGTGTTGCAGAGTTGCAGCTGGCAGTCGGCAGCGCGTCGCCAGCAAAGAGCATCATGAGCGTCAGCCGCCCGCTGGTCGTTGGCAGAACCCGCGAGCATCAGGAGCATCAGCGGCACTAGTGTTGCAGCTGGCCATCGCTAGGGCGCAGCCAGCAAAGAGCATCATGAGCATCAGCCGCTCACTGGTGGTCGCGGGCACGCACCGCGAGCATCATGAGCATCAGCGGCAACAGTGTTGTAGCTGGCTATCGGTGGTGCGTGGAACCGCGAGCATCATGACCATCAGCGGCACCAGTGTTGCAGCTGGCTATCGGTGAGCAAAGTGCATCATGAGCATCAGCCGCCCACTGGTGGTCGTCGGCAGGGACTGCGAGTATCAGGAGCATCAGCGGCACCAGTGTTGCAGCTGGCTGTCGGTGAGGCGTAGAGCATCAGCACGAACCCGTAGAGCATCAGCACGAACCGCGAGCAGCATGAGCATCAGCGGCACCAGTGCTGCAGGTGGCTTTCGGTGGGGTGCAGCCAGCAAGCATCATGAGCTTCAGCCGCCCACTGGTTGTAGGCAGCACCCACGAGCAGCATCATGAGCCTCGGTGGCTCCAGCGTTCAGCTGGCTGTCGGTAGGACTTCTTCTTCTTCTTCATGTTAGCTCTCTCTCTCCTCTCTGATTGATTCCAAACAATACAGCCTTGCTGAGCGAAAGCCGGGCATCGGAATCGGACCACGTCTTCTGCTGCTCTGCAGCCGCCTCAGCAGCTGCCCGGGCTTCCGCCGCCTGGGCTTCGGCCTCCTGGTGCAGTTCTCCGGGCTGGGTGTTATTATGTTATGTATGTGCTGTACAGGGCTCCCAGCTGAGTTTCATGTAGGGCGGCTTCATTCAAGGTTCTATAGGGCTTGCGTCACAGGGCTTGGAGAGTTCGTTTGGCTCATCGTTTCTATGTGGTTAGGGTTGAACGACAGCACTAAGCTGGAGTTCAATCCTTGAAATTCAAGATGCTGATGAGCTCCCGTCTCCAACAACATCCACAAACCTGGACAGGCAGGATGCCGGCCCCGAACTCTTGAAACCCCAGCACAAACTTGGAACCAAAGCATTGGGCTCATCTCCGGCACTTTCTCCTCCTTCTGCCTGCGCCTGGCGAGGATGGCCGTGTGCTGCTCTTGCAGCTTGCGCACCTGCCTGTCAGGTCACGCGAAACATGACGGCCTTGCTCGGAACTCGCTGGTTATGTGCGGAACACAAATTCAGGTGTGGTCATCTTGCAAGGTCCCACTCCAAGACAAAGCGCAAGATGCGAAGCAAAGACTCGATTGCCTGGGTTGTTGGGATCGGGCTTTGCTGGCATGGCTGCCTCTATAAAGTCTGAAACCATTCCCAGATAGTAGTCGACCACAGCCGCAAGCCGTTTATGACAACAGCAAGCCGTTTATTACAACAGCTATGTAGTAAAGGCATGTATAAAAGTAAGACGACTGTCACACTGTACTCGTGGTTGTAAAAGCTCGGTCGGGCCTTAGGAGGTCTGCGGGCAGCGCGCCCACCGAGCTTCTTGTTTCCTCGCCGCCACCGGACGTCCTCGGCAGCGAGGTTTCTCGGGACCCAAATACACTGCAAACCTGAGGGGCTTTATCATCTTTCTGGAAAGGCCCCAAATATGTAATATAAATTAAACTTGAAAAACCAGCAATTCAGCCTTCGAGAAGGAGCTTCAAGCCCTTGTGGTGTCAGGTTTAGCAACTGTTTCGTGCAACATTGCTAGATATTCATTTCGAAGAAAAGATCAGCACCTGTACAGTCTGCGTGTTCTGTTGAAATTTACGGCGAACTCCGGATTCCGGGCCTTGGTCAAACCCGCATGGCTTGATTCCACGACATTCTGTGTAAATATACATGACAACATATGGGGGACATGTATGTTGAACATATATACATATATATATATAATATGTATAGGCCTTAACAAGACGGGCTGGGTTTTATTGTTTTGAAAATAAGGCAAAATGGAGGCAACAGAAAGGTAAATGGAAGAGGTAAAGGCAATATACAGGGTAAAATGGAAAGCCAGGAAAAAGGTAGTGAGAAAAAGTACAAGGCAGAATGAAGGCAAACCAAAGGCAATGAAAAGGCAAACTAAAAAAACTGGAGACACGCAAAAGGGGTCGCATAATAGGCAAAAGAAAGGTAAGTCGAAAGGCAGAAAAAAGGTAGCAAAAGTATTGGACGAGGGCGGAGCTGCCTTCAGGGTTACTTTTTTTTTGTTTTTTACATTTTGTTCCACCTTTTCCCTGCCTTTTCAACTTTTCTACTGTTAGAAGGCAGAATAAAAGCAGATTCAAGGCAAAATAAAGGCAGGTTTAAAGCAGAACAAAGGCAGATTGTAATTAAATAGAATGTGAATAGCTCAATAGCCGACTAGCTTGAACAGCCACAACCACAATTTCATGGCTCGGCAACCTGCCTTTTCTTGTACCTTTATTTTGCCTTTGCCTTTTCTTGTACCTTTATATGGTGCTGGATAAATTTTGCCTTTGGTTTTGCCCTGAGTTTGCCTTTCCCGAATCGAAGCGATCTGCCTTTCTCCTGCCTTTACCTTTTCCATCTGCCTGTCCGGCTACGTTTATTCTGCCTTATTTTCAAACATGTTGAAACACCCTTTGACTGATGAGCAAATTTGACAAGTATAGGCACATATTACATATTAACCAGGAGGTTGCAAAGCGTCAATCCGAACTTGCAAACGCCGGGCCTCAAAGAAATACTCGGAGATTTTTGTCTGTATAACTCCAAGCTTCACAACCTCCAGTCGTCTCCCGATATCTTCATCGGACCTGGATCCCTTCAGCTGAACTGGAGACGTCGGCTCGGCTGAGCATTCGACATGAAACCCTTAAACCCCAAACTGAGCCCTAAAGACCCATGATGCTCCACAGAGCTGAAACTCAAGGACTCCCAAAAAGCCGAAAGGTTCCACCGTCTCAAACCAAGGCTCGGAGCGGAGTTGCGTTTGGGCAGCCGCTTTGAAGGGATCACGGCACGGCAGACCGGGCAGGGAAGCCCTGAGAAGGCTGCCACGAGGTCGTTAGGGCTTGGCTTGTTTCTATGAGGGTTTCGACTCGCACACTCGCACAAGGCAGGCACGGCTGAGGTCACTCTGCTACCGTTGCTATGAGGCTTTAGGGGCTTGGGGTCTTTATAGTAGGTTTAAGCGTTCTGTGGGGTCATAGAGGCTTGTTGATGTCAGTTATACAGTATACATCATATTATGCCAGACAGGCGCTAGAGAGGTTATATAGCTGTAAGGGGAGTTCAAGATTTCTTTTTGCAACTCACGGCAAACCAGGCGAGGTTAGCAGGCAGAACCAAAAAAACGAGAAGGCTTTGAAGTGCCTCCCCGGGCCAGCACAGTGAATTTGTTGGGTCAGGGTTCAGGGGCGTGTGGCAAGTTTGAGTTCGAAGAATTCGAGTTTTTGGAGTTTGGGCCAGAAGTTTTGTCAACCCTCCTCCACAGCTCCCCTCCATCCCAGTCCTCCAGACTCCACATCCGTGCTCTCGCGCAGCTCCTGGACGATAACGGCATTGTCACCAGGACAAGGACAAATCAAGGAACGAGCGGCAACAGGCAAGCTTAAACGCAGATACACGCAGAAACCTGATTGAAAAGATTCTTGTCGCGAGGATTGACAAGTACTTATCATCCAGTCGAATGTAAGTTTGGCGTATCCCTGTCGGCATACTCTTCGTGAGAATGTCAGTGAATGCGTAAAGAAATGTGGTGCTGTTAATGATCACAGTCTCACGTTGATGAGTGTGTGCAAAACATTATGACCATAAACCTGCTATGATTTCTACACATGCGCAATAAGCCATCCTGCTCGATGTTGGAGTACTGCTCCGAGATGTCGGAGTGCTTCCTGAGGCGCACAGGCACAAGGCTGTTTTATATCGATTGATCTGGAGAATGCGGGGTTGCCCTGGATCTTGAAAGAGCCTAGCAGAGGGCACCTGAGCAGCTAATACTAGTGGCAGAGCGCGAGAGCAAACACCAGGAGCCCTTGAACCAATCGGAGCCCTGATCATGAGATCTACTTCAGGAAACCAGCACTTAGCAACGAAAAGCCCCAAGCCCCCATACAAAGCAATAAAACAAACTAAACCCAAAGGCCCAAACATCCGTGAGAGGAGGAAATCCGAGAAGCAGGTCGGCTCGGCGCTTCTTCGCCTGCGTCGACTTGAGCCTTGCCAGCGCCCGTTTTGCGGCTTTTGTGGATTTCTGCGAGTTGGGGGAGGGAGGGGGTCCTTCTACTATAGGGCTATGAAGGATCCTGTCCAAGTGTTGCGGAAACTGATCAAATACTCTGCTAGAACCAAGTTAGAACTGTGCCTCTTGGTGGTTCTCAGGACGGTGTTCGAGGTTTGGGATACCAAGTTTTCTTTTGCAGGTTTACGCTCTCGCAACTCGGACTCCGCTTTCGAGGCTTAGGGTTGAGAGCGGGTGGGCCAACTCTTCAAGGTTTTGTCTTCCAGGCTTCAGTAGGTCACCTGTACTGATACGGTGCTATGCGGTATAGGGCTTCGGGTAGTATGATCTTGACGTAGGAGTCGTTTTTGCAATTAGTGACCCCAGATGCAGACACCCAGAGACTGCTTCTTCTAGAGACCCCGCCATGCCTTCCCAAGCCCCAGGCCCGACCCCGGAACTCTGAACCCCGCATCGCGAGCATCGTAAGACATGAAGCCCGCTCTTGGCTGCGGCCAACTGATCCTCCAGTGGTGGCTCCGCTTCGTCCGCCTCCTGTTTGGAGCTTGACAGGAATGCTGAAAACAGCTTTCCATGATGACTTTTATTGCTAATCGCGCTATCATGGCTTTTTGACCATTGGCCTAGTGAATATCATGCCGTGGAGTGTGAGGCTTGACATGGAATGGCATTGAACCCCGGAGTCGGCCCGAATGCCTTGACCCTTCTAGCTAAACCGCGAACCCCTAAGCCTTGCCCTTTCTTCAACAAGCTTCGCACTTCGGGTGGAGTCGGCTCTCACATCAGCCTTCAAACACTCGGCAAACGGGCAAGAAAGAGCTTGTAACGACACGCGAGCTTTGAAGATCAATCAGCAGGTAAGAGTAGAACGGAACACTTTGCTACGTCACTGGTGTCTGCGCGGATCATCGGCGTCCGGAGAACACCCCGGCGGCCTTTGACAAAAGTCTTGTGAAAGGACCCTTTTTGGGGCCTGCCGCTGGCGGGACATCGTCTGGGCCAGAGCTGTCATCCACGGGATCTTCCTTTGGTTCATTCTGTGACACGGTTACCCACCGAAAGCCCGCCCGCCCTTCATTGCAAGCTCCGGCTTCGAAGGGGAGCTTCAATTTCACCTCCTCTGCATCGGGGAAAATTTCTCCCATCAGCTCCACTGGCTCTGGCTCCTTAAAGATGCCTTTGCGCGTGCACCGGGACACCAGGAGGAGGATCTCTGGAAGCTGCTCAATTCTAGCCTTTCCTTCGTAGTCATGGTCGAAGGCAGCCTTCCATTCGTATGGATCCCAGTCTTTACCCCGAACCAAGGACGTAATCTCCGTCTCGTGCACACGAATGTGGAAAGTTCCGTCGGAACGGAACTCGGCTTCCACTTCCGCCGAAGTGTTGCGGCCGGCAGGAGCATCACTATTGGCGCGGCCTCCACTAAAGAGCTTGAACATGCCCGATGGGAAAGCGGAGATCACTTGAGTTAGGAGAGTGCCGTCTGTAATCCCATGCTCGGACAGCACCCATTCATTCTTCAGTTCCTCCGCGCCATGCAAAAGCCTGAGGTGTGCAACCGGCTCATCCATTCTCCCTAGAATGTCATCCTTCAGCTTCGCTACCGTGTCGGATCCGGAGAATGGCAGCTCCAGTTCTTGGCCACCAGGTGTGCAAATGCGAAGTGTTCCCGCCATGTTCGCTCGTCAAGGTCTGCTTTTGGTATCACACGTTTGCACGGGACGTTCTGAAAGGGGCCCCAAGAGTTGGAGCGGACGTCCTTGAGCCATAACGGCCAAGCACTTGTCATTTTCGGCAAATGATGACGCCCAGCTCAAAGACACCTCGACAGACTCTGTCATGCCTGACCTTTGCACGGCTCTGCAATACGAGTCAAAAGCTGTGTCAAGCTATGCCGAATGCAAGGTGCGCATACTGCCTTACTACCCTCGAGGAAAAACTGTCGCTTCATTGAACCCTCGGTCCAACACGTGCAGTAGCAAGAACAACAATCAATGCTCGGCACTAGCGTCTCAATGCTTGTATAACTTTCGGGGACAAGGCTTCACGAGCCAAGCCCTCGAGATGTCTTGAGACTTCGCTGCAATATGGTTTACCCTACAAGGATATCCTTGTGCTAGCCGCTAGCCTCGAACTGCAGAGCTTCACGAAGTGGATATTCCGTCCTAACCGAGTCGAAACTCTGTGAGATCCTTTCCTTCCCACCGTGGTGGCTCCTCATCTTCCACTTCCAGGTCGTCTTCGAGTGCCTGGTGCTTACCAGAAGCAGGCCAAGACATGGGACCCATGCACGCGAAACACAGCAGATATGCATGTAGACATAATTACGTGTAGATATGGTCGGCGGACAGATGAGTAGATAGATGGACAGAGAGATAGACACATAGATAGATCGGTTGGGAAGATAGACAGATAGATGAATGGCCAACTAGCAGGCTAGAGACAGAGAGAGAGAGAGAGAAATACAGATAGAGATATGTATATGTGTATGTGTATATATATATATAATTGCTTCTTATAGATAGATGGACGGATGGATAGGTAGATAAACAGACGGTTAGATCGACAGAACAGACCCATGGATCAATAGATCCATAAATAGATACGTAGATTAGGTAGGCAGCTAGACACGCAAACGAACAGATAGGCAAATCACTTGACACACAAACAGTTTGATGGTTGTCTGCTTGCTTTGACCGACAGATCGGTAGGTAGGTAGGTAGGTAGGTATACGTGCGTATGCGTATGTGTGATTGTGTGTATGTGTGCAAGTGTGTATATATATGTATACGTATATCTGAACACACACATGTATATATGTATATATGTACACAGGTATATACTAGCTACGTATACATAGTTTTTATATGTATGTAATGCACAAAACTATAAACCATACCATCCTACCATAATAACATAAGTTACGAAACACTACACCTTCACTACAACTGTTTGTACCAACATCTATAACATATACAGGTACACAACATAATGTCACCATGTGTAGTTTACAGATATATACATACAGCTCTAAGGGGCGCATGTTTGCAAGTATGCCTACGTGTGGGCACGCATGTATATATGTATGTATATTTAACATTTTACACATACTGTCATTCTCAAACTTGCAATGGTATGCAACTTTTGCACACGGATCCGCTAAAGCCAACATTGCGAGGGCGACCTGGTGCATCCCACGAAGGTCCACCCTGCACAACACCGAGGCCGTACACCTTCTCTGCAAAATCTTTGAAGTCAGAAAACCTTGGGACCGTTTCCTCAAACGGTGTAAAGCCGAAACATCAAGCTGCCGTATAGAATCCTGGCAGGCAAATCCATTCAAATTCTTCGCAGTGCTGTTCCACAGAAGCCCGACCCACCTTGTAGGCAACAAACCGGAATGCTTCAGCAGTCGCGAGCAGCGACGATCACCAAACAAATCAGGGTACGTCTCCAAACAAGCAGAGCAATTTGGACTTCGATCTGTTGTCGTCCGACAATAGGTCAACATTTATTCTACACTCCCGGGCCTTGTGCAGCGCTTCTTTCCTGGCAGAAAGCTTAGCGACCAGTTCTTCAAGTCGCGCCACCTGGGAAGGGCCAGGCTCAGACTTCTTGCATTTCGGATTGAGGGCCAAGTTTAGGGTTCAGGAGCAAGGGTGTAGAGTTTGAAGGGTGTGTGAAAGTGGGGGCTGTGACAGAGCTTGAATCGGCATCTCCAGTAGAGAGCCTCCTCGGCCAGGTCTGTGGTAGTGCATGACAACTCTGCGAGCTCCCGGGACAACGAGTCTCGCTGGGAGCGGATGCTCCTGAGACGCGAATGCATCGCGACTTGCGGTTGCGACTTCTGTCCCGCCACTCCAAACCCTAATATAGGGGCCTTATAATAGTTAGAATAGTATAGGTAATTATAAGTAACTATTAGCCAGGCCCGTATATTAGTAGACTTGAAGCCAGCCTGAGCTTCAGCAGCCTGCTCGGGCTGAGGGTTCACACAGCTAGGACTACTAAGGACAGAAACGTTGGCAACTTCGGCTTCATGCGAGAAGGACTCGAAACCGTTTTCGAAAGCCAATGACTTCGTTTCGGGCCCGAAACTGCTCAACCCCCACCCCAGCCAGCCACAGAAAGGGATATGCCGGCCCCGCCCTAAAACTTGGGAGTCCTCGTGGGAACCCTGGAGACTCCTTCGCCTTATGTCAGGGCCCCAGGCCCGAAAAAGCGCCAGGACCTAGGACCGATCCTACAACATCCAAGTCAAAGGCTCTGCGTCTTGTCCGCTGCTGCCTCGCGGGCTTCCGAAATCTTGAGCTCCGCCCATCCTGAGCAAATAGGGTCTTATGACGGGCTTTACACAAGGTTCAAGCACAGACTGCATTTCGCATGAGCTACCTATAATTTGAACTGTCGCTCTTGTTGCGCAGTTCATTGTCGGACTGAGGCACTTTGAGAGCTTTGTGTGCATTGCTGGCAGCCGACCAAGCATCTGCACTTCTGCTGCAGTACCGACTTTTTCCACGGTGGTCTACTACTATTCCACCTCAAGAGGCGAGGAGCGACCAAGGCATGTGGCATGGAAGACATGATCACAGGGAGCATGGACGACGCTGGCATCTGTGACGCTGCCGCAGACCTGCTCGGCTTCACGTTCCAAGACTGAGGCAGTTCAAGGGGGGCATGCAGAAGCTGTTGCAGGGGCTACATGCTTCGTGTCTAAAATGCAGCTTGAGAGCAGCAGAAAGGAACACCACCCTGTGCTATCTGGCTACTTCCTCATCAACCCCGGCCGAAACTCGATGGATCACACATCCCCCTCTGCTTACACAACGCATGACCAACCGCGACCTTTTCGTCTTGACGTTGACGTGCTGACTCATGACTACAAGCCATCAGTGAAGCGAGATCCATAAGATTCTGGCGAGTTCAGGCTTGTGGCGCGTCTTGCTATACCCTTTATCGGAGGTGTCTGACACTCGGAGTGGAACAGTCCGGGCAGGGCAGTCTGCAAAGCTTACAGAATTTTGGGTCCCTGCTAGCACCCGGCCTGTAAGCAGATCAGGCACTCACTCTCGTCGTTGGCCTGGTCAAGAGCCTCGCTTACCTCCTCCAGAAGTGGACAAAGACAGCCCTCCTCGGCCAAACCTGACTTGAGGCAGGGCTTCGAGTTGAGTCAGCATCTGGGATGTGGGCTAGCAGCGGCTAGCAGCTAGGTTCGAGATGCGAAAATTACGGAGCCTAACTTGTTTACACTGAATGTCACAAGCCCCGAACCCTAAAGCCAGACTTGCATGGGTGCAAAACAGGGGAAACACTAACACAGCAATTAGCAAACGTAATCTTCGACTCCTGTGATGACCATACCCTCAGGAATCCGTTTAGTGCATGCGCTGAGGGATCGCTATTCTGGGTGTTTAAGGCAAAGTTTCTGAATTTGGGATCCAATGTAGGGGTATATATAAATATAAATATATATAATTATATATCCTTATGCCAAGGATCCTACTATGTAGGGCCCGTATGGGAGGTCTTGAACTGTCAAATAGGCTCGCGAATTTTGTGCTAAGACCCGCCACTCCTGCAACCCATCACCTCCTACATTCACGTTTAATCAGCACTAGCACTAGTGTTATGTAGTCGGTTTACAGAAACAGTACAGGTATTCGGAGTTTGTTCTTACTTCCATGATTCTGACTACAAGTACGAACACAAGTAGTGCTGTGAAGCTCAGGGGCCGTTGCTTTGCAGGAAGGTCTTGGCAGCTGACAAAAGGCTCGCCAGGCCTGAGTCTGTTAGGCCTCTGGACCGCTCCACGCACACCTGAGGAGAGCGGGGTCTTTGGGGTGTTTGGCCTGCGGGTCGAGGACTCGAACTCCCGACACGCCGAAGCTGAGCATGCCACAAGTGCAACGCGACATCTTCCTATAGGCATCTAGTGGCCGGCATCGGGCAGTCGCAGACAACGTGGCTAAATTGAAGATAAGAGCAACATCTGGCTCTAGTTGAGGGTGC